GAGAGAGAGAGGGAGAGAGAGAGAGGGAGAGAGAGAGAGGGAGAGAGAGAGAGGGAGGATGTACAGGTAATGCTCAGACATGTTCGGAATTACTCTCCAAGGAGAAAGCATCAAGCATCACTGTGGAGAGACTTGCAGCAGACTTTGTAGTGCACAGAACTCAAAACCGACCCAGCCCAGATGGAGCAGGTGCCGCCTTCTCCAGCAGCGCAGCTGTGATGAATGCTGGGAGACTGATTCAGGCTGCTAAGGTCCCCCCACAATCTATCTGTCCACATTATTCTATCAGTCAGTGTCTTCCTTACTCTTTGCCTCTGACCCCACTTCAGTGAGATAAACATTTTTGTTGACCCCGCTCCTCCCCAAATCTCAGCATCACAACCCTAGGCCAGATTTACATTCCACTAATTCCAGCACTCTCTCCCTGTCCTGCAGAGCACATGGAATGGCACATTTGTCGCTCCTCTGATGTGAACATGTGAGGGCTGTGTGTCACTGATGTCCACATCTCTCTGTGTGTGACTCCACTGGTCCCTTATTCATGATTTACAACACTCGAACGAGTTTGTTTTTTCAACCTGCTTCAAATACTAGGACACTATCTCTGTGGATAAGGTGACTTTTCCCTGCCAGTTGGCTTAATGTTATTTAGCTCTTTGGTGCTAAATAATTTACCTCATGTGGAAAGCATTCAACTCCAAGCCAGGGACTTCAGTTCTCTTAATAATCCCTGGGTGCCCAAATTCTCAGTGATCTTGAGGAAAGTCTAAGCTTTCGTGGAATCTCAGTTTTTCAAATGGAGCCATTAGTATGGACTCCTCATATCATTTCCATTGTAAGGTCTCAGAAATAAGAGTAGAAATTGATACTGCTAGTTAATGAACTTAGTTCACAGTCTGTGCAAAATCAGTTGTACTAACTGCATAGCATATTTTGTGATGTCTTCATGAAATGCACGCATCAAAGTCATTACAAGTCATGGTCCAAAAATCAATACGGTTAAAATGGGAAGTGTCAATTTCTCATATTATCACCACTTGCCTTCCAATGTACTCCCCAGAAAATATTATTTTAATAATTTCTGGCTTTTAATTTTACTTTTAATTTATGTCTTCAAACCTTTTAGTTTTTATTTTATTGGTCTTAAGTGACATTCTTAAAATTTAGACTTAGCCTTGACTCTCGGATAGTCTGTCCTTATCTTTATATTTCTAATATTTCTATATTTTGATTCCAAGCTTCCACTTGCAAGAAGGGAAAGGAGAACCTTCCTCCACTTCCTTCCTGAGTGCAAGTTCTTCTGGATCCCGGCCCCCACCTGTACAGATCTCTGAGCCAGGATGGATGACACGGAGCCCCGCTGGAGCAGGAAGTCAATGGGAATGCGAGGTCCCCCCGGGACTGTTATTAGAGGGTTCCCTATTTACTCAATCTGGGATAAAGCTTTTGGAAAATATAACATCTGGAAAGTTTCAGCCATCTCCTTCCTGACCAATAATTTGCTAAAATCAGAGAAGGCAGCTTGGTGCCCTTCTGAATCTGTCTTTCAGCCACAGTGAGAGTTGGCTTGACAGTAACATGCCAGTAACACATCTTTGCTTTTCTGAGAGCCTCTGCTTTCAGTGTGACCAGCAGCTCATTGAACTTAGATTTTCACCACTGTCGAAAACAGTGAAAGGAAGCATGAATTCCACTGCTTGCTCTGCTGCATTTTGGGTTAGTTCTCAGTTATTCACGGGATGTAGCACTTTGTTTTGTTTCTCTGTGGCAGAAGATGATGACTCGCTGTAAATCCATGCCCCTTTCTTAGCTAGAGTTACACAGGAGGAGCACTCAGGTAACTGGAGATGCCTGGAAGAAGGAGAGATTTCTTATAAGCAAAACTGAAAAGGACTGCTTAGCTTGTACTGGAAAATATTCACGAGAAATAGTGCCAGAGAATATAAATTAAAAACCCATATGGAAAACATAAATTAGGAACCAACCTGCAGAGGGCCAATAGGATATCTCTGTTGCTGAAGAATAATAAATATTTTTAATGTATTTAATATGGATTAAAATAAAGCTTTTTGTTGGATGTTGTATTTAACCTACAAGAGTTATATTCCATACAAGCAGTTACAAAAAGTTTTCTGCATCAGATAAAAATTAATAATATGTAAGAACAGAATAGGTAAATTAGATAAAATAGTTTGCAGTAATTTATAACTAGGTTTGAGTCTAAAGCTTCACAACATAGAGAAATAATGAATGTGTGAAGAGATGGAAATGCTATTACCCTGGTTGATCACTGTACTTCTTTATACCTGTATTGGGATATCATTCCAGCCCCTATAAATATGTACAAATATCATGTGCTGATTAAAAATTTTAAAATTAACTCTTCCATTACCAAATTATAAAACTATTATTGTGTGAAAACCTATTTTGTCTATCATTTAGAAATGCTATTAGTAAAGCAAAGCATGTAGCAAGCCCAAACGGAAGTACACAGGGTCCACATCGTAGCATAGTGCTGCATTTGGGTGTCAGTTCTAAGTGTTTAGGGCACTAAGCCTCTCCCCATCCACATCTCTGAGAGTGTGTGAAGTAGGATGGGAGGTGTCTGTGTTCTTACTCCCAGCTGAGCTAGCTCAGGCTGACCTGGAACCTGCTGCTCCTTAACTCTTAGTCTTAGGACAATTCACCCAAGGAGAAGGAAACCTTTCCTTTTTGAGCCCAAACTCTATGATATTTCAAATAGGAGTAAAGATACGAATAATTTTTATTTTCATTAAACCCGATTAAGGAGAGTAGCATTTCCTCATTATTTGGTTTAGGCAATCCTACATGCTTCTTCCAATCTATGTAAGATTCTTTTCCACCAAGAAACCTTTTTTTTTTCCTTTGGTACTGGGGATTGAACTCAGGACCTTGCGCTTGCCAGGCAGATGGCAGGACTAGAGCTAAATCCCTTTTTTTTTTTTTTTTTTAATAAATGTGAATGTTTATTGGGTACCCACTATGTTCCAGCTCTGATTGTGCTAATTGATGCACAATCACAGTATTCAAAGCTGGATTAGAAAAATGTCTTCTATGGGGCAGAGATGTTTATAAACTGGACCTGGTTCAGTGGTTTAAGTTGCCATATCCTCTTCAAGGTCAATGGGATCCATAGTCAGTGAACACTTGGATAAGCTGGTTAATTCTGCTGTGAAATAAACATGTGACCTCTTGTAATTCTTATTCCACCAAATTACGCTTCATATCTTTCACTTCTAGACTTAATGTGAAGAGTTTGGAACACCTTTACTATTATTAGATTATTCTTTGTTCAACCCACTGTATATTAATAATAACCCTCCCAGTGGGTTGTAAATAGAATCAAGCCTCAAATCAAATCTTGCTCTCCCATTTATACACAGATGACCCTCCAAAGTTATTTAATTGCTCTAAATTTCAGTTTTCTTATCTATAAATTACTTAAATAAACATAGATCCAGGTAATGGTTTTCTAATTTCTTGTTTGTTTGTCTTTCTCCCCCATTTATGTGTTCAATTATGATAACCAAAACAAAAAATTTGACCCAAGCTACTAGACAACAGGATTTGATAAGTGACCCAGGACAAGACAACCAGAGAACAACAAACCCTGTGCTGTGGTTATTGGTCAAGACTGGTCATGTGAAATAAGGAAGTTGATCAGCTCTCTTCCCTGGGCTTTCCCTCCCAGAGCAAGCACAGATACCTGCTCCTTGCTCTGCATTTACCCACCTTTCTCAAACCTAGAGGAAATGTATCTGTGGAATGGGAAAAAGAGGTCACAGCACAAAACGTCAATGAGAGAAGAGTGAGCAAGGAATGAATTTAATAATGCGGAACCCACTGGTTTCACCAAAATGTTTTCCTGTTAGACTCCTTCATTTCTTATTTATAATATTTTAATATTAATAGTTAAATATTGAACTATTTTAATTAATTCTTAAATATATAATTCTAATACTATCACGTGATGTTTATTTTATGTACCATGAGTTGGTACACTTACTTATTTGTTTGTGCTAGAGTGAGTACTAAGTGAGCTAATAATCGAAAGCATCTACTAGAAATTCCACCCTAATGAAGTGCTAATTTCACCTTTTCTTCTGCTAGTGTGGGACTGAGGCTCAAGGGACTTCAAGCAATTTGTCCAATATGGCTCACCAAGCTTTAAGCTCAGATCTGCTGGACTCCAAAGTCTGTGTTCAAGGCACTGTTGGGCTGTTATATTTACTTGTTTGTCATCCAGAGGCCACTTGTTAAGTGCATGGCTGGAGGACCTTCCTGTTCAATCTGTCTTTTCATACTTTTTATTATTCTTACACAGCCTGGTTATTCTTGGCCTGATCGTACTCCAGAGGGATCCTGGCTGAGTGGCTGAAACTGGAGACTTGCGTCGAGGGACGCATCACTTTGGCGCTTCCTTCCATAAAACTTGGCTCCTTGGGTCACAAGCCCTTGAGTCCTTTACCATGCTCCAGCCACAAGGACTGACCTCCCTCTTCCTTCTTCAGTGTACACCATCCGCCAGCACAGCAGAGCAACCATTTAATGGGCCACGCAGCTGCCTTCCCGGTAGAATTCTGCTGGTCAATTTTTGAGTGTGTGTTAAGAACAGTCCTGTGATCTTTGGTTCTTGATCAAAGCTGTGCCCTTTTGATTTTCAATCATAGATATTTTGCCGTAAAAGCAGAATTGTTTTCCTTAAGAGCCCTTCCTTTGTCACAGATCTCCACTACCCCCCTCACACACTTTTTGCTGACTAAAGATAGTGGGGTTGTAAGTTGTGTACTTTCAAATTAAAAGTTATACTTTAGAGCTGGGTCTGGCGGTGCCAGCCGGATCCCACATTTGAGCCCCAATGGCCAACTTGGAGACTTGCTGAGATCCTGTCTCAAAATAAACAATACAAAGGAGTGGGGATGGAGCTCAGTGCAGAGAACCAAATGCCAAGGAACAACACAAAACAAAACAAAAGTTGCGCTTTTATGCCAACACTGAAACATGTGCACAAAATGTTTTGTGATGCTTAGGAGGAGTGTATCAATATTTGAACAGCAGAGATTCTGCAGTGTGTGTGTGTATGTGTGCGTGTTCCCCACGGCACTTCAAAATTTATGCGATTAGAAGCCCATGAGTGAAGTCCTAATCAATGCTAATGTCTCCCTAGTGTGCTAGGTAGAGTTGAGATTTTCCCTCTGTTCCATACCCAGGGATTCACCCCGGGCAGAATCCCCTTTCCATGAAGGTAGCCAGGACATTTTCTTGCTTCTAGAGCAAACACTGTGAAGGTGACCACAGCTCGTTCTGTGATTATGCAGCCTTTTGTATGACTCCTCTTGCTAAGTGACTCACTGTTGTTGTCTTGGGGGCCCAGTAGAATCAAGCTGCCAAGTGTGAGCTTCCTCTCCACAGGCCCAAAGGCAGGGAATCCAGTACCTCCAGGAGCCCAGGGCAGTCTCTAGCTACAGGCATAAGCTAAGCTGTCACTTAACATCCTGAGTGACCTTGAAGGCAAACTCTTTCCCACTCTGCCTTTGGGATGAATGTACAACCTGGCTAATTGCTGATTGCAACAGAGGAAGACCCTGAACCAGAGGCCCTAGGTCCAGGCTGTCTGAGCACTAAGACCATGCAATCTCTGAGACAACAAACTATGTTGTGTAATCTGTGCTTTACAGTTGTTATGTAGCAATAGATAAATGACAGACAACAAATTATTGATAGAATTTGTGTAATTTGTATGGAAGAGGCCCGTGGGAGAGTAACACCAGGACTCGCAAAGTTTCCTAGTATATTTGCACCTCAGAGGAAGAGAGAGGAGAAATGTTATATTGAGATGTGTTTTTCTATTTCTAAAAAACATAATTTGATCCCCGAGATCCAGGTAGCATTTACAGAGGCACAAATACATGATACCTGTTATAGGTAGTGTGTGTATATATATATATACATATATGTGCCTATACAGTACATATTTATTGTTTACCTCAGTAACATGATTAAATTAATTATTTTTCCTTTCAACAAGGTTGAAACTATGCTTTTGTTTCTGCAAATAAAAACTCTGTGGTTAATATACTCATACAAACTTTCTTAGTGTATTTGCATAGCATTTAAATTCTTGTTTCCCTGAATAGAATGAAAAATGCTATTTTTATTTAAAGGTGTTTTGAGTACCAAGATATCAATGATGTTTGTTCAGGAGTGGAGCAACAATTTTCCTGAGTTTCCAAAATTATATCCATAAATATTTCAGGCCAATCCTTCATGTGCTGTCATTTAAGCTAAGATTACTAAGTGCCGGTGTAGTACAAGGAACACCCATGCATGCCTGTGTGGGTACGTGTGTCTTGGGTACATGTTTGTGCACGTGTGTGTGTGTGCGTGCGTGTGTACAGATGTATGTTCTGAGCTAGTGGCAGAAAATATGCTATAGGAGCTATATAAATGGTTTAAAAATTCCACAGATATACAGTGGGTGACTTTCATCACATCATTTACCAATCCAGAAAAACTGATCTTCTCCACTGCTAAAATAAAGTTACCGATGCTGCTAGGCACAGCTGTAAAGATAAGCAAATAGGGAACTTCATCAAATCAACAAGTGAATAACTTTGAAGGAATCACAAAAGGGATTAACTCTCTAAATATATAAAGTTTACTCCGTAAACAATGAGTAGTTCAAATTGAGTACTAGTCTGGAAAATGAACACTTTGGTTCAGTAGTATGACCAGAAAGAAAGACTAAAGTGAATCACTTTGGAATCAATAAGGCGAAGTGTGTGGGGAATACATGTAATGCATACATATCAGCGTGTAACCACATATCCATTTTGTGTGTAGTAGTACTCTTCTGTGGCCTTCCCCCCTTTATTCCCCTCATTCAAGCAACAGGCAGCTCTGTCTCTCCTCCCTTCTAGAGGGCTGTGGGACGTAAAGAACAAGACTCTAGACGGTGGCATTTGTGTCTGCAATTCCAACTCATCGAGTAGAAGAGGGACTGTGGAAAGAAGTGAAGTGAATCGGAGAAGGCGAAAGAGGAAACAAAACTCTGACACAAAAAATAAAAGCTTCAGGGCCGGTGGAAAAGAGGAGGACTTGTGCCACATGCGAGGAGATTGTCAAGAGCACCCAGCCCTCTTCGGCAGAGCCCCACGGGAGAGAGACAGGACTTGCGGGGCCCCCGGAGGTGAGGCCCTCTTTCCCCAGGCACAGTTTCACTTCAGATGCTCTGCTCCTCACGGGCGAGGCTT